AATTCATTGCTTATTTAATTGAATTAAAGTAAGCCATATTTTGTGTGAGTTACATATTGAAGAGAAATGAGCCTTGCACAGTCACAGTAGAACACTAGAGCCAAGAGCAGTTCCAGACTTCCACTGGCACGTTAGGTAAAAATGACAATCTTTTGAACAAGAAAGGGCCATCTTTTTTTTTGTATAAAGTAGAGCAAAAATTAAATATGGAGGTTTGAAAAATATTTTAGCTTTGTCTCATCAACAAAGTATGACTTCAGTCTGAAAATGCGTTCTCTTTAACTTATACAACCAAAAATTCTGGTTTCTTAAAAGTTTTATTGAGAATTCTACATTTTCAAGCAATTATTGTCAAACATCAAAATTTTGCTATCAAATAAAGATATTTTCGTGCCTTGTATTGTTTCCTATTTTCCATTAGAATTAAGAAATAAGCTACTGCTTATCCTAACTTGCAATGTGATGAGAAGTAGGTAATATGGCTAAAAAACAGGATCTGGAAAGCTTATGTTAAAGGAAGTATATTTGAAGTACTTTTGGCAACTGTCGGTAATTTGGGGTAAGTCACTTAACCTTGCAGACACAAATTTTTATAAGTGTAAAATAGTGGCTTGGCCTCAAATTTAGATCTATGAGGTCTTTTCCAAATCAAATCTTCTTTACTAATTGAAGCTAATAATTCCACTTATATTCAGAATCAGAAGACTATCTCTCCTTGTTGGTTTAAAAATAATTGCTCAAAGGAGAATCACATTAATAAAGTGAAACATGACTATTGTTTGACCTAGTATTTTCCAAAATCCTTCATGAACATACTGATATGCTACTGTTCAGATATTTTGCCTTGTTCCTCTACTTTTTCTCAGTTTTTATCAGTGGGTATGTAACTTGATCTCATCAAGGTAGGATAGGTAAATTTTGAATATGTTAGATGCTACAGAATGAATATGTTGTGGAAAACACTGGTTTAGGGTACCACTTAGTAAAAGGGCATTCATGGGTATTTTCTAAATGTTTCTCAGTATCTTTGCCTTTGGATAGAAAAGTTAATTCTTTTACAAATTTACAGACCAGAGGAATCCAATTTTGTTGTGTTCTTATCTGGTCTTTGTACTTCTGATTCTATGTATGAGGTCACATGTTAATTTTCATGACTAATTTTAAAGATTTGGGGTTAATATTTAGTTTGGTTATTGAAATTACAAGAGATGAGTTTCAAATTTCATTTAAGATTGTTGATGGAATTAGCCTTCTTAGGGGAGTGATAATTTGCAATTCTTTGATGGGGATGGAGTTATTATAGATCACTTTGAAGATAATTACTATGGGGAGATCACCACTATGGTGAAACCCAATGCCAGTGAACTCACAAGGACCAATGGAGGGAGATGGGGTGTCACATCATTCACACAAGGTATTTAAAATATCAAAAGTTTGGTTGATCGTAGTGGTATGTACAAATTTAAAGCATCTGCTTTTTATGTACTACTCTTGCTTGCTGGAGTGAGGAATGAAGTATGAGGACTTTTTTCTTGCTCTGTGCAAATGTAGAGAGATATAAGTAGCCGAAAGAGCTGAGCTGGTCAGGAGGCCTGGATTCCAATCCCACCTCTTTCATTTACTAGTCCTATATGTTGTCATTTGTAAGATAGGGATAGTAATATCTGACCTTCAAGTTGTACAACTGAAGAAAGCACTTTGAAAGTATAAAATTATCACTTTAAAATTATAAAGTATTATAATTGTGGGCAATGAAAATTTAGGTTATGCCACTGAAAAAAATATGCTGTTCTATTTTTTCCTTTTTGGTGCACTTTCTAGGTGAATGTGCCTCTTAGGAGCAATTGTCTGGGAGTGACTGGATTAAGCTTGGGCTGCACAGGCAGATTGTACTCCCTGAAGCCCTTGCTCCCTGAAAGACTCAGAGCAGCTCAGCCAGCACGTCCAGAGTATGAAGCATGAAGTACATTTATTCTGCAAAAATGATAAGTAAATATAAGATAAAAAATTTCAAGGATTCCATTTTTAATAAATGCAACAACAAAATCAATGAAAACTAAAATCATATTCAGAGTAACACATGCCACTATTTTTCACAGATCTTAACAGCACTTTGAAAAAGACATTTACATGTTGATTTGAATTATCAGACATTTTTAATATATGGAGTAATTTTTTTAAGTGGTGAAGCCAAGAATAAAAAAATAAAATCAATGACAGAAATTGGAACAAAATACACTGTATAAGAAGGTATTCTAAGCTTTGAATTTGAATTGAAAATGAGAAAATGGGAAGGTTATTCCAAGTTATTCCACAGTCCTGCTTGAGTCCTGAGAATATCTGGACCCCTGATAGTCTTGAGTTATTCACAGTCACTTTCTCAGAGTCTTATGATGACGTACGTGGGGCTAATCAAGATTTCAAAGGGTTCTGAAAATCATATAAAAATTATACTGTCTTTGTACAAAAATGTATCAAGTGTTCAGGTTATAAAATAGATTTTTAATAGAGGATAGCTAGGATTTTTAAGATTTATCTTTTTCTGCATATATCAAACAACATTGTGCTTGTCATCTTGCCTCAATTTAATTCCATATAAGCTCTCAAAGGCAAGAAATTTACTTTAAATACAGTATATCAGTCATGAGTGTAGTATCTGGGGAAAAAAAGCCCTATTTTATATAACCTTCCTGTGATTCAATGCCATAATGTTTTTCTTCCCAAAAGGTATGTTTAAAAATTATCACTTAGGAAAGGAAAAAATCTTTCTGTTGTGAATTTGTGTTAAAGAATACATCTTTTAAAAACAATAACATTTTGGGGTGCCTGGGTGCCTCAGTCGTTAAGTGTCTGCCTTCGGCTCAGGTCATGGTTCCAGGGTCCTGGGATCGAGCCCTACATCGGGCTCCCTGCTCAGCGGGAAGCCTGCTTCTCCCTCTCCCACTCCCCCTGCTTGTGTTCCCTCTCTCGCTGTGTCTCTCTCTGTCAAATAAATAGGATCTTTGAAAAAAAATTTTTTTTCAGGTAAAATTTGGATTTTTCTTTTTCTCCACCTCCACTCCCTTCCTTCTTCCCTTCACTGTTATCTTTACTTGGAGATTTATTTATTACCCTGTACCAGGAGTAGCAAGGGACTGGCTCATTGATTCATTAGTTGATTAATTTAACTTGCGTTTTGTAGGGGGCGTGAAGGTAAGCATAAAAATGTAATTGATTTTTGTTGTAGCTGTCAAAGTGCAATGGAACAGCAATATCCTATAAGGCCAGGAGATGGTGGTGTTGTCCCTAGGAGTAGACATTTAGCTGTTTTTCTGCATCGTTCAAACTGTTTTAAAGCCCTCTGTATTTTCAAAATCCACACAAAATCTAAACTTTTAAGATAGCAAATTTTGGGTATCTTTTCCCAGTTTTTCATTCAAGAGGTTTTATGTATCTACATATCTATATCCATCCTATCTATCTCATTTAAGGAATTAGACCTTTCTTCTCAAGGTTTTGGCACACAGAGTGCATTTTTACAATGGGATTATGAACCTATAATTGATGTTACTTAAGGGTTTTTTTTGTATCTCTTGTAGTGAAATTATAATAGGTGACTAGGGAGAAGCTTTTTTCTCCCCTTTCAATTCCTCTTTTTAAAAACATCCTTTTGCTTTTCTCTCTTCTCCCCCACTACTGCTGTATTTACTGATATCTTAAGCATTTATAAGAGACCCTTGTAATTTTTACTGCAAGATGCAATTGTTAAGAGTGTGAGATCTAATACTACACACAGAACTGCCTTACAAGTTTAATTCGTGGTTATAAATTTCTTATTTGGTGGATACTTTCAGCTCTGTCAGGTTCTTACACAGGACTAGCCTCAGAGTGGAAAGTTACCAATTAAACTCATTTACCAATGAGTGATTATTTTATCTAAGAATTATACTGTATAACTTAATGAAGTCGGCGAGGCTCTGGGGAGTGCTGTATTTCTTTTATTCTATGGCTTATTGCCCTCAGTTCAGTGTTGCCACTGTGATATTAATTCCACAACGTCTGAACTTACTGGGTTATCAGGACTATGATGAGTGTGATCACTGGAGACGTTCTTAGGAGTTGTACAAACGTTACAAAATGAATCCGGAAGGACGCTGAAACTAATGTCTACAAATTATTTACAACATGTTTGTATCCCAGGCCCTGATCTACGCGCTTGGGAGAAGTCAGTGAGCAAAACCCATAAAAAAGTCCCTGTCCTCACGGGGCTTACAATGAAGATGGGAGGGCCTATTCAATAAATAATACATTTAAGTAAATTATATGGTATATTGATGGCGACAGCTACCCCAAAAAGAGCAGAGGAGGGTCCGGGGGATGGTGTAGGGGCGAGGCCGGGCGCAGTACGAAGTCGGCTGGTCAGGAGAAACCGTGTGGAGGCTTGAAAGAGGCGCAGGACCCGCGCCCAGAGGACGGCCCGACGGTGGGCGGGAGCAGGCGGGGCGGCCGGGGGAGCCGGAGCAGGAGCGGTTTCACAGACCTTTATTAGGAATTTGCTCCAGGCTGGGTTCGAGCTCCTAACTAGACTCGCAGCGAGCCAATTCCAGGGGCATCCAGCGCCAGTGGCCTCCCAGCTTGGCGAGGAATGGCTGCGGTCGGCGCGGTCAGTTTGGCGACGGAGCGCACGCCCGAGCTCTCGGTCGTGCGGGCCTCCGCCGGGGCGGCTCTGCAGCCCCGGCACTGAGCGCGCGGCGGGCGCGGGGCGGGGCCGGCGGACGCCATCGCGTCGCTACGGGCTGGCGGCAGCGGCGGCCTGGTCAGGACGGCCGCGGCGTCCTCGCCGCTTTTCACTCGCCCACGGCCGCCGGGCCCTCGCCTGGTCCCCCCACGGCGGCGCGCGCGGCCAGGTTGGGCGGGGCGGTTCCGTGGATGAGGAGGCGGCGGCGCGCCGAGACGATGCTCCGGAGCTGAAGAGACGCCGGCACACGGCGCGGCGGCGGAGCGCTGTGCCGACCCACGGGATGGCTCAGCCGGCGGGCCCGGCGGGCGGCGGGGAGCCCCGGGCAGAGCCAACGGGCGGCGAGGGGCCTCCGGACCCCGGGGCGGCTGGCGGCCCGCCGGACGCGCTGAGCCTGGAGGAGATCCTGCGGCTCTACAACCAGCCCATCAACGAGGAGCAGGCGTGGGCCGTGTGCTACCAGTGCTGCGGGTCCCTGCGCGCCGCGGACGCCGGCCGCCGCCAGCCCCGTCGCCGCGTGCGCTCAGCCGCGCAGATCCGCGTCTGGAGGGACGGCGCCGTCACCCTGGCGCCCGACGACGCGGGAGAGCCGCCCCCCGCTGCGGGTGAGGCAGCCGACCTGCGCCCCCACGGAGAACCCTGGCCGCGGCCCCCTTTCCCTCGCAGCCCCGGGCCGGACCCTTCCGCCCCGCAACCCCCACCTCCCACAGGAGGACCCCCTGCCGCCCCTTTTTCTCGCTCGCATTCCTGGGCCCTGCTCTTCAGCCTCGCGACCCCCACCTCCGATAGGAGGACCCCCCAACGCGGCCCCCCTTTCCCCTCGCAGTCCCTGGGCCCTGCCCTTCCGCCCCGCGAACGCCCACCTCCCGAGGGAGACCCGGGAGGAGCCGGGCCTGGGGCGGGCGGGGGCCGGGGGGAGGTGGTGGTGCTGGCGCTGTGGTCTAGCGGGGCCCCACGTAGGTCGGAGCAGGGGGTGGGGGGCCGGCAGCGGCACAAAGAGGGATTGTGAAGGGAGCGTCCGGGCGGGCCTGCGCCCCCCAGTAGGGCCGCGGACCTGCCTAAGGTGCTGGTAATTGTACAGACTGTCATAGGAGAGCTGCCCGCGTCTTGTTGGGGGAAATGGAGTGGGTTGGGTCCTTTTCATGATAAGCTATGTATACATACTTACATGTCAGGGCTATTTACTTGGGATGTGGTAGGTGCTGTGAAAGGTTCACGTGAGATCTCGTCAAGGATAGTTAATTCTGCTGTCAGGAAAATTATACCTTTCAGAATGAGTAGTCAGCTAATAGTATTTTTAAATATTTGGCAACAAATTCTTTCGGTTTGGAAATATAAAAAGCCCTGAGGAGAATTGGGAGAAACAGGAGGAGACGAAATAATTATTTCTAGCTCCTGAAAGTTATAAAATAACTACTATTTACCTGCGTGTTAAAATTTGTTGTGATTTTAAAAAAAACGGCCTTGTCAAGTCAAAAGTTGACAGGATGTCAGATAAACCAGATAAAATGGATTTCAGTTTGGTTATTGTCTAACGTAAATTCTTCGAGATTATCACCTACACGTTATGTAGCTGTGGCTTTCTCAGAGATTTAGTGATGATGAGGGGATTGATAATAGGTTTCTCCTATCAGTTTTTATAATTCAGTCTTTTGAGAGGCAAGTGTATTAAAAACATAGAGAAATAATCCGCCCTCACTTTTAGAAAGTTGATGGAAGTGTCAAAATGCTTAAGGTGAAAGATGTAATTCATTAGTCAGTAAAATGACATTTAATGCAAATCCTTATCTAAATTGATTAAAATAAAAAACATTCAAGATTTTAGTTATCAATTGTTTCACTTCCCCCAGAACATTAAAATGTGTGTGTGTGTCGGGTAAACACATTTTAGAACTTTATTTACTTAAATCTATTCTTCATAATTCTCTGCAAATTATTTGATTTCAAATCGTTTTTAGTTTATTTGATGTATTTATTGTATTTATTTATTTATTTAGACAGAGAGAGACACAGCGAGAGAGGGAACACAAGCAGGGGGAGTGGGAGAGGGAGAAGCAGGCTTCCTGCCCATGAGGGGCTGGATCCCAGGACCCTGGGATCATGACCTGAGCCGAAGGCAGACGCTTAACGACTGAGCCACCCAAGCGCCCCGATGTGTTTATTGTTTTTAAACTTGGACAATGTTAGTGGGAAATAACTTGGTATTATAATTTACTTACAACATATTAACATGATATGCCAAGATACATTTATTATAAAATATGGCAAAACCATGCCTTGGAATCTGGCATTTCAAGGGGAAAAATGGTTGTGTGCAACCCTCTTTAGAAGCAGCATTGGTAATGTTTGTTGACCTCTGGAAGAAACAAACAGGAGTTTACATTCTTTCTCCTGAACTTTATCCCAGAAGAGTGTGGTTTAAGTTATATTTACGGACCTACTAGTAGTTTAGTTGTCAAAGACTCGTGTATTCTGGTGAGAGTCAAAAAAAAATCAGAATCTCATGTTGAAATCAATTTTTATTGTTATTATTATTTTGTATCATTAGTATGAGTGATACTATCTTGACCTCAATGTGTAGCGGTAATGAATTTATAATCCTTCCTCTTCTTCCTTGGTTTGGATCATGATCTCTGCTACCAGTTGTTGAGAGAGCCCAACCAAAGTTGTTGATAGTCTTGAGCATTTTAGGCTTGATCGATTAAAAATCTTAGGAAGTTCATACTAAAATGTTGCTTACGTTAGTTTATTTCCTCCTAGGGTTTAAGAGTAGTTGCATGGCTGCAGAAGGCAGTGTCTTCTGAACACTTAATCTTGATTCTTAAAAATGCTGAGTAATTTAGTACTGTGCACATGTATAAATTCTGTTTTTAAGGAAAAATGGTAATCATGATGCCTCAATTCTAAGAAGTACTTTTTCACTGTAGAATGTTTAATAGGATTGTGTGTTGATTGGCAACAACATACAATCCTATTTATATTTTCACACAGTTTATCCATTGATTTATTTCCAAATGGAGGTTTAGGGAAGTTAAGGGACTTGCTTAAATCCATAGTGGTGACTTTGAATCAAGTCCAGGTCTTTTAACCTCTAGGCTTATAAACAGATTCGGTTTGAATTTGGGTCCTTATTCCTCCACTTCCTAGCTGAGTGACCTTGAATAACTTCCTTAACCTCCCTTAATTAATGAGTTAGAGACACTTAAGCTCTGCATATGCAATCACCCCGAGTCCGGCCTTCTCATCTGTAAAATGAGAATAGATCACTTTTTCACGCGAGAGGGTTTAAGGGAGACGATGCATGTAAAGTGACTAAAGCAAGGCTTGTTATGTAGCAGATATTCAGTAATTTTTAGTTTCCTTTCTCCCCTAATTCTGTGTCCTTTTGCACCACCGTGGTGCCTGTGGTCCTGCTGTTCTGCATTTTTATTAAAAATTGGAACACAAAGGTTTGGGTCAGGGTTTCTCATTCTCATTTTTGGCTGAATAATTCAGGATGGTGCTGGCCTATGCCTGTGTAGGATGTTAGCAGCATCCCTGATCTCTACCCACTGGATGCCAGTAACTGCCCATCCCCTCCCCCAAGTCATGACAATCCAAAAAGTCCCTGGACATGGCCAAGTTTTCTCTGGGCAAAGTTGTCCCCTGTTGAGAACCACAGGTCTAGTGGATGATGGGTGGTACACAGGATTGTGTTCAGTGTGGAGAATTGGATCCTGGCTGTAATCCTCGAGTGAGTGAATCTTTGCGCTGGCCACTCTTCCCTCTGCTCTTGAGTTGAATGAACAGGTGGTATCGCTCCCCTTAGTCCCATAGAAAGAAATAACCCCTCACATGCTTTCTTGACTTGTTTTGGGGGTGAATGTAGTAGTAATTGATTTTAGTTCTTGTTTACTTTTAACAGTGTTGCTACATCCAGAACGTTCATATTCACTTTGAATTAAATTAGACATACTCATAAGAGAAATAGGAAAATGGTGAAAGATGTGGGAGGCATGGAGATGAGACCAAAATGGGAAGAAGACAATGAAGAACAAGCAGTTTTATTTAGCATTCTGATATAATCTAGTGCCATATACTAACATGGCCATGAAAGCAGTGTGATATAGGATTGAAGGAGGTAAAGAAAAAGGAAAAATTAGTTCTTTAGAGTATATCTTAAGAGTAAAAATGATTAAATTATGAAATAGGGTCTTAAGCAGCATATTTTATCAAGTATTTCTGTGATGACAGAAGGAAACATGGCTTAGAATCAAGAGGGCTTATGATTCTTCTTAGGTGTTTGACAACATTTTTATTTTCCTTAATATTTATGTACATATAGTAAACCTTACTGTTCGATAAAAGTTTCTTATATGCAGGTTGATGAAGTTTTTGCTTTCACACCTTTAACGAGTTAAAGACACTCAGGCTCTGCATATACAGCCTGCTCTTCATCACCACTATGCCTAACTGGCATTTGGAACTCATCTTATTATACATGTTATTTAGGAAGTAGTCATTGATGGAATTTAGGTTATATTCCAGACCTTTGCAAGATTAGAACTTTTTTTTTCCTGGGATGCCACAGAGAGTTATTAATAACAGTAGTATTAGAGCTTAGAACTGCTGTATGGTCTCAACGGCCTCTTAGGCCTTAATACCAATCTGACAAAAATAACTTACTTCAGATTTTGATTTCAAAATCTTTGATGTATCTTTAATGTTAGATGTATAAAGAACATTTTAAAAATTATGACTGCATCTTGATTTAAAATAATCTTAGATTGGTAATAGGTTTTCCTGGGAAGAACAGTGAAAGCCTGGGTGCATACTAATAAAGGCATCCCTTGGTATAGGGAACATTTGGGCTTTGTTTGGGATTTGAAAAGAGGACATGATCAGTCAAGCTTCTCAGTAAGTTTCATGCTAATTTGGTGGGAGAAATGGTCTTGAAATAATACCTATTTGATTTTAAAGAGAGAACAAATACTTGTAGAGAAGGTTGAAATAGCAAAGACATGTTTTAAAACATGAATTCTTGTTCATTCTTGGTATAATTCTTGAGTGTTAACATCCTGATCATTAAATGAAAGGAATATTTGAGATTTATGTATATGTGTCCAGGGTAGAGTTTGGGGTGAATGATGGTATTAGGGGTTGGTGAGATGTCTCATCAGGTATAGTAATGGGTAAGAATTATTCCATTTGTACAGTATCTCCCAATATGTTGGGCTAATTCAATTTTTAAAACATGCAGGGACGACTGGGTGGCTCAGTCGGTTGAACTTGGCTCAGGTCATGATCTTGGGGTCCTGGGATCAAGCCCTGCGTTGGACGCCCTGCTCAGTAGGGAGTCTGCTTCTCCCTCTCCCTTTGCCACTTCCCCCAGTTTGTGCTCTCTTCCTCTCTCTCTCAAATAAATACAATCTTAAAAAAGAAAATGCATTGAGTTCCTACCATGTGAAGGCAGTGTTCAAGTTTCCATGAGTAATGTAAAGATAAATAGTTCTAGTCATTGAAGAAGAGAAAATAAAACAAACACATCGATAAGTTTACCATGCAGCTAATGAAGCTTCAACTCTGAGCCCACTCATTTACATAGTTCTCTTACAGGCCCCTGCAC